GCCCCATCCCTGGCAGTGTTCAAGGCCAGGTTGGACACAGGGGCTTGGAGCAACCTGCTCTAGTGGAAGGTGTCCCTGCCCGTGGCAGGGCCTTGGAGCTGGATGAGCTTTAATGTCCCTTCAACCCAAACCAGCCTGTGATTCTATAAGATCAATTTGCAACCTGACACAAACTGATTTACAGAAGAGTGGCATCCACCAGGAGCCAGAGACACATCAGAGCTGCCATATGGGGGTGACACACCAGGGCAGGGACATCCCTGAGGGACCACGGCCAACCCACACCACAGCTAAAGAAAATGAGTAGAAAGCAAAGAGCAGCAGCATAAACCATTAACACATGAGTCTCCAACCGCCCCTGCTGCCTGTGCCTCGCTGAAGCAATGGGGACAGACTGAGCATCATCTACAGCAAAAAGAGGGGAAGCTGAGACTGAGATGGGGCAAGATAACTGGTGTGAGCCTGAGGAACAGGGAGGAAAGGTGTGTCTGTGATTAAAAGGTGGTGTTCTGAGCATAAAATGCTGTAGAAGTTCCCCAAGTCGAGACTGTTTTGGTGGCAACACTGCCCCACAACTGCTAGCACCACTGGATCACAGCACCAGGGGTTCATCAGACACCAGACATGGGGCAAGCAACAAGTTTACAAGCTCCTCAGGAGAAGCTGTGGCTCCAGAGACCTGGAAACACATGGCAGGGGAGGGAGGGAGCAGCTATCCCTGGAGAGAGCAAGCCAGGCCAGGAGGGAAGGGAGGACCTCGGGCTGACCGACCTCCCCAGCCCCAAACCCACGGATCAACTCCTGCTACTGGGAGCTCACAGCTGAAGGTCAGACAGGCCCACGTGATGGGAAGGACACAGACACGCTCTGATCCCAGATTTGCAGAAGGATTTCAGTAGGAGGAGATCTCTGGAGGCTGTTTGGTCCAACTGCAAAGTTAGATGCAGCTCTACAGACCCGACACAGCCAAGCTCTGACTACAGCAAGCCTGGCTCACGGCTCCCCTGTAATCCCTGGCAACTGGGATGCAGGCAGGGAGGGACCGCTCCATGTGCCCCCCCCCGGCCTCCCACATGCCCACAGGGATGGAGCAGCACCCTCTCCCACCACTGCCCGTGCTGCTGCAGCCCAGGGAGGTGACTCATGTGCTGGGAAATGGAAACGTGCACCTTCCCAACAGCGTTCCTGCCGTATGCTCCAACCAGTCCTCTGCCCACAGCAACCCACACGCTGGGGAGGGAGCCAAGACCCTCACTCCGTGCTGGGCACTTGGCAATAATTCAGCAAACATTCTCACTGGCCTTTCAAACCCTTTCCTTTTCCTCTCTGCCTTCTGCACCCAGCTCTCCTCAGTATCACAGCGCCGGCACCGAGCCCAACCCGTGCTGTGCCAGCACTTGGCTCACAGACCACGAGGGCATTTGTGCTGACAACAGGATTTGCTTTGCCAGCAATATTCCCAGTGATATTTTAGGGTCACCAGAGCAAGGAGCCCTCAGGGAAATCCCTGATGGGCACCAGGCATCAGATGGCAGAGCAGTGCCATCCGACCTGCGGGCATTGCGTGAGCACTGCCACCTACTCTGCAGCTCCCAGCAGGACCAGGTTTGCTTCCTCCAGGGATCCAGAAGCTGGGAGCAGCTGGCAGCTAACCACACAGGAAGCAGAATACTCCGGGAATACTGAGTTTTCCATCCAAGATGAAAAGCACTCACTTTCTCCCGCTCACACGCATCCACGACTTGGCCATGGATGGAAGAGCAGAGTCCAGTGGCCCAAGAGCTGGGATCATTCCCAGCTTTGCCACAGGAGTTTGCCACACCAAATTTCTTCCTCTCTTTACCACCCGCTCCCATCTGCAGCACAGACACTATTAATGCACCTACCAGGGGCCACACAGAGCCATTTGCTCATAATCATAAAGTACTTTGCAGCTCAAAGATAAACACGCTGTCGCTGGTTGGCATCTAGCAGAAGGGAGGGAGGGCAAAGCTGCTTCCCAGCAGGACTGACAGCTTCCCCTGGGAAAGGAGGGTGCCTGCAGGGCTGGCCGGGCAGCAGGCACACGGGAGCTGCTTCCCAGCCCCCTGCTTGATGTTGGTTCAACTCCATCAGCTGATCTTGGCCACTAACCACCAGCCTGACAAGTGGCCAACAGGCTCACAAGGGAGGAATCTGCCAGCAGCAGCTCCCTGGGGCTCAGCCTGATCACCCACATGGTGGCTTCAACTGAAATCCATCAGCTCAAGAATTCCATCTGTGGGATCTAATTCCCAAGTGAAACACTGCTTCCTCCCACCCAGGATGCACAGCCGCATCCCTGCTCCCAAACACAGACCTGGGTACTTGCTGCTGTGTGTGCTGGGGAGGCCCCAGGGAAAGACATTCCCTGGAAGCATCACTTCAGACTCTCTGCTGACCAACACATTCAACTCAACAATGGCAGAACCACACGGGCGGATGGAGGAGGCGATGGGGAGGAGGATGAGTAATACCAGATCTGCTTTGGTCTCTGGGTGCCTCAGTGTGAGGTATAGCCTCCAGCCTGACCTTTCAGAGAGCAGCAGCACATCACCCAGCCACCTGCACAAGCAGAGGCAGTGCCACTCTCCCAACAGCCAATGCCTCCGTGATCTTCCCAGCCTTTCCATTACCAGCACAGGCACTGAGCAGGGCCCAGGCCAAACACTGGGAAGGCAGAGCCATGGAGCAATGCCTTCCTTCTGTGCTTGATCACTCAAGCTCCAGGGAGACGTGATGCCTCCTCACCCAGCTCCAACCTTTGCTCTCCCTACACCCCCAGGCATCCGACCACCGCTCTGCTCCCCCATCCCTGCTCCCCCCCACGAGCAGGCTGATCCCCAGACCCGTTCCCCTCGAGCAGCACGTGGTACCTTTGGGCTGGGAGTTGTACACTGCAAACATGTTGATGGCCACAAGCTGGAGCATGCGGGTGCTTCCGATGGGAGGGGGGCTGTGCTGAAGCAGGACCTGGAACTCCCTCAGCACCTCCTCAGCCACCGCAGGGAACGTCTCCATCCTGCAGACAGAGAGAGAGTCTTGTAGAGCACAGGCTACGCCGTGGGGTGCAGGGTGCTCACTGGGGACGGGGAACACCCTGGGGTGCTGTCTCCCATCCAGGAGCTGTAAGAGAGGCAGCTGAAGCCTTCCTTAGAGAGAGGGTGGCGAGGGATTGCTGTGTGACCAGCAGGCAGCATTCCTTTGGCAGGAAAACACGGCCTTTATGAGTCATTTCTGACCAACCATTTTTTTCTACTGACTTCTACCAATCTGGGAGGGGTGCCAAGAGGCCAGCAGCAAGCTTGGACCAGGAGCAGCCCATGGGACTCCCGAGAAACCCAGGCTGCAGCAAACTGCACACACTGGTGCCACATTGCGGATGTGGCAACTCCAAGTGCGTTGTATGTTGGCCAGAGCGTGCTTCCTCCACAAGAACACTGCCCATCCCTGTGCTCCTCACCGCAGGATCGGATCCCATGGCACTGAGCCCTGTCCCCTCAGGCTACACACTGTGATTGAGCCCCTAAACTTCATCACTTCGAGCCCCACAGGACAGGGACTCGCAGCCTAACAACTGCTGCTGGGAACATCAAAGCTGGAGCTGGTCCCTGCAGCGCGCGGTGCTGCTGTCGCTCATCAGGACACAGCAGCCAGCGGCTGCAGTGCCACAGCTGGGGATCGGGTGAGCTTTCAACACTGCTCACAAGCACCCATGTAAACCTGACACATTCATCCTGCTCTTCATCCCACATCACCGAGGGAATGAGCTGAGGTTCCTGCTGGATCCTCGGCAACCTCCCAAAAGAAGTGGGGTCAAAAGCTGGGCAAGAAATGACTTTTGGTTGCCCTTAACAGCCTTTACCAAAGAGAGTCCTTTCCTGGTATCCCATCAGAACAACTTTATAACCAAGAAGCTACCCAGAACCTTGGAAATTACTGAGGGGGGGAAGGTCCTCCTGTCTCACCACCTCTTTTGCTGAGCTTTCTGTGCTACTTCTTGCTCCTGCACTAGAAAAAGCCACAGCTACACCTAGCAATGTGTATGTCGTGGCAAGCATCCGCTCCAGTTATGACACTGTACTGCTGTGCCCACATGGGAGCAAAGGAGCCAAAATCCACAGTGGTGAAGCATCTGAAGCTGGGGCAGGCGTCCTCAAAGGCCTCCATAGCAATTTCCTCTATCTTCCCCCAAGAGACTCAGATCTGGTGATATCGGCACGCTACAGGCTGGATTAGCAAGCCACTTCTGGTAACCCACATGGGCAATTCTGCTGGGCTTCCCCAACAGACTTTCAGGACAGTAACAGGCTCTATTTTTACAGACAGAAATGGCTTGCTTCTTCTGGACCATATTTCACAGATGCCTTTCAACAAGAGGTTCTGCTTACAGCAGCAGGGGCATCCTCTCCCCGGGTACTGTTTGCTGGAGCAACTCAAAGTCTCTTGTTACCTTCACAAAAAACACAGGCTGTGACAAAACAGGCCCCTTGCACTTTGTACTGGGCAGGACAAAGCAGCTCCACTGCTACATAAGCACTGCTCTCCCTGGAAGAGGCAACTTCCCTGGATTTGGGGTGCAGCAAATTATTGCTTCGAAAGACTTCCTCATTTTGAGAGATCTCAGACCGCATCCAGCAGCATCCTCCTAGGGCAGACTGGGGATAGAGGAGCCCTTTGCAGGATGGGTTGTTAGTGAGGAGATGAAAATTATTGCTATGAAATAACAAGGAGGAGTGAGGGCTTCCTCAGCCCCGCCAGCTGTGCTTTGATAGCACAGCACATCTGGAACAGCACAGCAGTAACCCCACTGAGCTCAGAACCAGCAGGTCAGGAGCAGAGTGGAAGCATTTAATAAAGTGCTTACCTGTGGGTTTAGGAGCAAAAGAGTCCAATTAGGGCAACATCATCTTTTCCATAGTTTTTAGGGATAAATCACTAAGATCCTGCCCAAGGAGGACTCAATTATTCCTCACCTTTTACCTATTTTAAGCACGGATGGCTGGACCATGTTCTCTTCCTGTATCAGGGTATTACTTTCTAGTTCCCTTCTAAGTACTTCAGGGGATATTCTACCACTAAACATACTCGGGTTTTCTAAATGACTGTCCAGGGAAGCAACTGCCTCAAACGCTGCATCTTAACCTCAAAGTCTCAGGAGCCAACCTGCATACAATCCCTGCAGCATTCCCATTAATCCCGCTGCTGGGATTAGCTCGGATTCCCCACAGAGGTAAGGAGCAGCAGCTCCCCGGATGCTCTGTTCTGCAGCACAGCCACGCTGCAGTTAACAAACCTTCCACGGGCTCTTGCAGCTTTCCTCCTCTTTTCCTATGGAGGAGGACATCCAGTTCTGCCTCCTCACTGCTGCCCACGAGCACATCATCAGCGCCGTGTGAGTCAGGAGAGATCAATAACACCAGCAGGGAGCAGGCTGCTCTCCCCCTCGCCCTCACACACTCAGATCTCCAATGAACTGGCCAGTACAGCTCCTACTTCCCACTGCTTTATGAAGGGACCAAAGCCAAGCACGTGCCACTCCTGACTGCTCATCCCACGGATGGAGCAAGCCCCAAGGTTTCAGGCTGCACGGTAGGATCGGTGCTTCCCTGCTCCAGGAAGGAAAAGGGACAGGCCCAGAGGCAGGGAACTGCACATCCGAGTCAAAACCACAACAGCAGGGACAAGATGCCACTTTGCATCCACATTACCTTCACTTAAGTGGCTTGGAAAAGCACTCTCAGCCCTGTAACTTGTAGCCAACAGCTCCACAAGAGACTGAAGGAGCCAAGAGAGCTCATGAGACTACATCTGCTCACGAGGCACTGGCAGGCTCAAGCAGAGACCACTGTCGCCAGAGACTATCTGGACCTGTGTGAGGTTTCTACACCAGCTGACAGCAAAGGCCAGGCTGGACCCAGAGCAGGGACAGCTCCATGGGGATGGAGCCCATCGGCTACCAGGCTAAGCCCTCCTCCCTGGGTTATCAGGATGCCCCCCCAGGCTGGGATCTCAGCCCAGGCCTGAACCAGGCTTGCTTGGCTTCAAGGGCAGCTCTGCAGTTACCTGAAACCAGGTTCTGACAGATGCTGCCAAGGGCACTGTGTATTAACCAGGTCCCACAGCCGGGGCAGCTCTCAGCTACGAGGCTCCCACTGAAATAGCAGCAAGGAGATGATGGGCAAGGCTTGTCTCAACGTGCTTCAGCCACCACATGGATCTGCCTTGATGGTTTTGTGCTCCTCACAGGCAGCACCTCTCAGCTGGCTAAGAGCAGGGGGGAATGGCAGAATGAGGTAAAACCAGGAACTAAAGGGGAGGGAGGACAGTTAGGTGATGGCAGAGAGAGAAAACAGCCTCCTGTGTGTATATCAGCCATCAGAGCTCATCCTCTGCCAGAGGGTCCTGGTGTATGGGCATGACTGGGCCTTGAGGTGGGGGAAGAAAAAGCCCAAACAATAACCAGTGTGGATGTGAGGGCGGGTAAGGAGAATAAGAACCAGGAGGCTAGGCCGGCAAGAATTCACACCCTGTGCCCTCAGCTCCAAACACAGCTTAGTTGCTAACAATATTAAATTCCAAAAAGACTTGTAATGTAGGAAAATAAAATAAACATCCTGCACACTTACCCAATCCTGGTAAACAGCTTCCCATGGGCATGGAGAAAACTGAGGATGAACCTTTTGTTCAGCTGCATGGGAAAGAAAAAAAAAGGGGGAGAGAGAGAGGAGAAAACAATTAAACTCTCTCCGATTTCCTGTGAATTAAGAATGTCCCCAGTGACAGGAGAACCTGGCCTGGATGCTGGGGGTGGCACTGGAGATGGGAACCAAATGGACATGCCCAAAGTCATACCAGTAACCCAGCGCCAAACAGCTGGAGCGGGATGGGGCGGTGGAGACACAGCGCCCTCTGCCGGGCCCTGCGCGCACAGCACCCGAGCCGCGGGTACCCCCCCCGAGGGTGTCCAACACAGCACAGCGTGAGGGGTTACACCGGGGGAGACCCCAAAGGCAGCCTTACACCAATGGCATTGAAAACACAACCAAAATAACCCCAAACCCCCAACAGGAGGAGTTCGTGTGTCTCTGAATGCCTGGGCAATGAGGAGAGGGAGCGGGACGTCCTCACTGATGCTCTTCTGCTGAGAAGCCAACACGGTGAGTTCAGCGCCTGTGCCCTCTCAAGGAGCAGCTTTCAGAAGCAAGGGAACACTGTGAGGGTGCTGAGGCGCTGGCACAGGGTGCCCAGAGAAGCTGTGGCTGCCCCATCCCTGGCAGTGTTCAAGGCCAGGTTGGACACAGGGGCTTGGAGCAACCTGCTCTGGTGGAAGGTGTCCCTGCCCGTGGCAGGGGGTTGGAATTGGATGAGCTTTAAGGTCCCTTCCAACACAAACATTCAGTGATTCATTTCACTCCCACCTTAAGCAATTACAGAGAGGGAGCCAGTGTTCAGATGTACCAGAGAAGCCTCTAAGAGCCTGCAGCAGCAGAGCCGCTGTTCAACAACCATAACAACCTGGAGCTAAGGGGATACAGGGGGAGTTGGCTGCAGCACACAGTGTGAAAGCAGCTTCCTGCCCTGCTTAGGTCCAAGTAACACCAAAATCTGACTTGAACAATCACTTACTCCTGCTCTAAGCCATCTCTGCTAGCTCAGCAGAGCTCTGGGCTTTCCCAGTCCTTATCTAACCAGCTAAGAAGGCTGCGGCTGGGTGAGGAGTCGCTCTGCCTGGCTCTGGAGGTGGCTGTGTCACACACTAGGAGCAGGCTGGCCTTGCTCTTACCTTCCCCACAGCAAGAGCTTTTCCTCTTGTGCCTGCTCAGCCTCAGCACGGTGAGAAAAGCCAGACTCAGAGCCAGGCTCCGAGCACTGCGTGGGGAGGTGCTGGCCAGGAGCAACCCATTCACACACCACTTTTATACCTTCAACTCCTCCAGCGAGGTCAGCAACGCCACTTCCATTTCCAGGGGGGAATCAGAAGCACGGAGGGAGGATGAGATTACCAGGCAGGGCTGTGGCAATGCCCAGCCAAGAGCCAGGCACAGTGAGAAGGTGCAAGACAGGCACCAGCCGATGCCTCCTGGCCTCAGGGGATGGTAATCACAGGCAGCCCTGGCTCTGGCATTACTTCCACCCTCAAGCCCTCACCACGACTTACACCAGCTGCTCCACAAGGTGTGATTCCTCACTTAGGTGTAATTAACCCGGGCTGCATTCCCAGAGGACCCATGCAGGAGAATGATGCCCTGCTGCAGTCGCTCCTGGGCCATGTGCGAGTTTCAACATAAAACCTGTCTCATAAAACAAGCCAGACCAATTAAACTGGCCCCTGCAGCAAGGGGGTTCTTGCTTACTCGCTGTTTTACTGCTGCCCTAAAGAGCCCTTTCCACTGGAACTCAAGTTGATTTGCCACCATTTTATTAACTCTGCAGATGAAACCCAGAAGAGACTGGGGAATACAGCACAGCAAAGCCCTTAATCGCTCTGCCAGGGAAGCTTGGATACAGCTGCTTCTCCACCGTCCTCCTTAGGACACCAAAGCAGCTCAGAGCTTGAAACCTTTAACACCTACTTTGTTTTTAACTCAGGCAACAGCTTGTGGAGGGAGAAAGGTGGTTTGTGAGCAGCTCTGTGGCTCCAGCTGCAGTCACATCCCTGATAGAGACACAGCCCAGGTATAAGAGCCTTGGTAGGACAGTGCTGTGCCCCACAGCAAGCAGGAGCTGGACAAAGGGGTCCACGCTGCATGCTATTTGATAGGGGATATGGAAAAGAACAGGAGCTTGTGGCCTTTCCATCTCTACTGGAAAGACTGCATGTGCAGAAAGGAAGAAACTGGGGCACAAGCTTTCCCCCCAAGGCCCACATCCACCCGCAGTGCTCACCCTGCAGTCCCCACCCCACGTTCCCGGCAGCAGGGGAGTACCAAAACTCCCCACCTTGAATGGAAAGTGACAGCAGTGCCCAGCAGGGACGTGCCCAGAGCATTCCCACAGAGACACACTGCTCTGGGAGGGCTCACCAGGACATCACCTTCACCCCATCTTCCCAGAGCAAGTTTCACCCTCAGCTTTTTCCCTCGCAATGCTAAGGACTAACCAGTCACACTCCACAGGAACCAGTGCTGAACTGGGACACAGATACCTGCATGTATACATTTATATCTTTTAAGTAAGCAGGATACCTGCCTCCAGGACAGCATATTTCATACTTCCTGCCAACTTAAGCACGAACCCCGCAAGCCCAGGCAGAGCCCTGTGTGCCCCAGCACTATGGCATCTCAAGCAGGCACCTCTCAAGCTTCTTTCACCACTTTTTCTCTCACAGCCTCAAGGCTTTGATGAGCTCATCGCTTAACTTTGGACCTTTCATCTCTGAGTTCACACTAAGGCCATGGGGCTGCTTTGACTGGGCTGCTCTCTGAATGACTCTTTCTCTAGTGACTCACCTGTCCCTCAGTCTCCCTGCTCCTCCCATCAAACGCTGCTTCTCACGGCCAGAGGGAAACAGTGACTTCCACCGAGCTGTTCTGCATTCACACAGGGCAGAGGAACATCTCCCCAGAGCCCTGCTAAGTGCTGGCTGCCCTGACAGTGCTACCATGAGACCTGCAACAACATCTTGCCTTCATCTCACTCCCTGTGCAGCCCAAAGGTGGCTCCACTCCAAAGGTTTCTCAATGTGCTGGTGCCAAGGGAAGACAGGGCTCCCTGCACACTTCCACCGCTGCCCCTTGCTCTTAGGGACAAGGAACCAAATCTAGCTGGTTGCTTGGGAAAAGCCCCCCAAGCTCATTCAACAACGGAACTATGTCAAGGGAAGAACAGATTTTGGCCCTTCCAGTTGAAAACGGGCATCAGAGATATGGAAGTTATGAGCATATAGTGAAGGCATTAGTTATAAAAACAAACCAGTTGTCAAGAAGAAGGGGTCCCTGCACACAGTAGTGCCTGAAGCTGAAAACAGCTGGTTTAGCTGTCATGAGTCAGCATGTGCAGACAGACTAAATCCACCTGGGAAGAGGCAACCTCAGCAGAGGAAGCAGCCCACTGCTGCTTGGGGAGCATTCACACACCGCACCGCCAGCTAAACTGGATGTGTTACCATGGAAGGAATCAACAGTGACTAACAACTCCTCGTGGAGCAGCAGAGTGCAGAGATAGCAACAGAACAGGAACAGCCAAGCTCAGATCACTGAGAGGCCAGGAGGAGCATGTCCTGACAGCACACAGAGCAGGGGCAGGCACACAGCTACAGGAAAGGGTTGTCATGTCTTAAGCCAGGAAAGAAGCAAGCAAAACCCCCAAACTCAACAGACCATTCAGTGAGCAAAAGGGGTTGTAAATAGTGTGTCCCAGCCCAGCATGAAAACACTGGGAATGCCATCAGGGTGCACAGGAAAAGGAGCACAAGGATCCGGGCTGGGAAGCAGAGCTGCTGCTCGTGAACCCAGCACAGACCCATCTGGCTCAGGGTGAGGAGTGCACAGAGCTTTGGCACCTGAGCATCAGTCCCAGCTGTGAAGGAGGCACCAAATAAGGGAAGGATTCTGGAGCAGTGACTCCTGGGGAAATAAAGTGTTTCAAGTTCAAAATTGTTACTTCAGGTTTGGAAGTAAATTTCAGGATCTGGTCTTTATCAAGCGAGGCAAACTTTCTTCAACATCAGCAAAGCATCTGCGGAGCAGAAACCGGTGTCAGAGTCAAAATAGGCTGCAAAAGACAAGTCCATTAATCAAGAGACCAGATGCAAAACTGCCTGTAACAAACACGCTGTCTCCACTGGAGTGGAAGGGGCTGGAGCACAGCAGGATCTTCTCCCGAGTCTGGGGGTCTCCTCAGTGACAAGGGGTTGGGATACAGACCACAGAGCCACACAGCTCTGCTCCAGAACACGTACCACACTCATCCCAAATGCTTTCCGGGTTTCTTGGGCAGCCAGGCTTTTCCAGGCACAGCTTCCTTGCTGAGATCCATGTGAAGCAACATCCAGGCACCCAAACCGTGCCATATTCTCACTCCCAGCTCAAGGGTTAGATATACCACATCAATTATTAATCACAGAGTGGGTTGGGATGAAGGAACCTTAAAGCCCATCCAGCTCCAACCCCTGCCACGGGCAGGGACACCTTCCACTAGAGCAGGTTGCTCCAAGCCCCTGTGTCCAACCTGGCCTTGAACACTGCCAGGGATGGGGCAGCCACAGCTTCTCTGGGCACCCTGTGCCAGCGCCTCAGCACCCTCACAGGGAAGAGCTTCTGCCTTACATTAAGATTCCTTATATAAAGATTATCTCTCTCTTCTGCAGGCAGCTCCTTTAGAGCCTCCCACCACCCAGTCTGACAGCAGCAATGAACCCACTGGACATGGCCTTACAAACGTGACCCCGAGCCTTTATCCCACACCATCCCAAAGTGGCAAGGCACAGCTCTTGGCTGGTGTTTTCCAAGGCACTATATATCCCAGTGAAATAGCTCTGGGCACTGACACAGAACTTCCTGAAAAGCCCAAGATGCTGCAGTGGGCGAGATACCAAGAGGAGGTTTTTACTGCTACAGGTGCAGTCCCAACAAAGTGCTGGTGGGAAGTGTTTTGTGCAAATGGCTACCTCCATAAAGGAGACGAGACAAAAGGGCTATTAAGGCTGTCTGGCATTTCTGCAGTATTTACAAGGTACCCACAAGAGCT